AATGTTTTCAGAACCAGAACAGCAAGAACTAGAAAAGGTGGGAAAATAAAAATAAACACAGAACAATGACCATAGTATTGAAGGCAAATGGAGGGTCGAGGTAGACACAATAATGGAAGAAAATGGATCAGGAGAGAACAACTTATGGAACAACCCAGAAACTATGAGTTAACAACAGATACCACTGAGGGGGAAAATAGTAACCCATATTAGCCAGAACACAGAAAGGCAAAGACTCCCCCCTTTTTGCATGAATTACAAAGTAAACCAGTAAAACATCTACTGACAGATTCAAGTGTAGTAAGCTTCACCTGCTTGCAGAAGGACAGAAAAGATTAGGCCAGTCTAACATCCCATGGGAGGGTGTTCCAGAGACTCAGAACAGAGAAGGCTCTCTCCCATGTCCCCATCCAATGGACATGTGAAGGTGGTGGGACTGAGAGGAAGGCCATTACTTCCAATCTTACACAATCATTTAGATAGCTTTAGCCCAAACTGTTTAGAGAATTGTAGGTTAAAACCATCACTTTCTTCTAGTGCCTCTCCACCTTGAACACATTCACCAGCTTGGAACTATCTGGGAGGGAGTTCACATCTCAACCCACTGAGAAGCATGCTGAAAAACATAAACACCACAAGACTACCAATATCTGATCTCAGTCATCATCTGTAGAACACAAGGCTGTCTGATCATCAGCCTCAAGAAACCTCCAAATAGACAGACCATCTCCCATCCTATACAGGAAGATGCCAATGGAGAATAATTTTTATCTCCCCCTTTCTTCTACAGAACCCGACTTCAGTTCTATGCAGGTTCTGAGTGGCCTTTCATGTCACCTTTGCTGACTTTGAAAGGACACAAAGAATAGGACATTTGGCCCCACACCATGGCTCGATGCCAGGCCTTCCGATGCTGGAGCCCCACCACACCCAGCCCAAAAAACAAAGGTTGACCATTCCAGAGTCACCACAGCCAATCAACACTTGATTCAGAAATGCCCTCACTCGACATCTGCCTCAGTCTACAGAACCAGTTCAAGGAATGCACCAGACAAAGAAGAAGGAAAAAACAGGAGAGAACAGTTAAAATTAGACTCTCCTGCATCCTGTGATCTGGAAGCAGGTGTCCATCCAAAGCTGAAGTCTAGACTTACAAAAGAAGAACAGACCACTGAGGTACAACAACATTCCACAGGCACAGAAGATGAAAATGTCTCTTCTCAAGAATCAGCATCACTTCTAGAAACATGAGACACTAATGATAATAATCTTCCATCACTATCAAAGGACATTGGGTCCTTCTTGGACATAATGCTCAGAATGGAAAAGTACTTGCAAATAGAAGTCCAGAGACCTCCATCTCTAAGGACTGATCTGGTTTACGATAAGATACAGAAAAATGCTTCCACCTCAATCCATGTGGCTATGTTGCCATCATTATTGGACCTGGTGAAAGAATAATCAAAGAAGCTATCAACCCCCTATCCAACATCAGGAAGGGTTGAACATTTATACAGAATACAGGAAAAGGATGCTTGTTTTAAAAAAAATCGTGCAAATAGCATACTCGCCACACATACAGCTCAGCAGCTACAAGGCTACATGGCTTTGATTACAGTCACCATTACTCATTCAAAGCTAAAGGTGAAGTCCCTGCAAGTGTGGTTCCTGTTGAACTTCAACAATGTCAGAGACAACACCCAAAAAACACTCCAGGTAACCCAGAGCTAATAGAGTAGCTTCTCCAGTGGTCCCTTTCTTCTCATCCACATGGGACCAGATGACACAGACAAGAGGAACTGCAAAGAAATCACATCAGACGTTGAAGCTCTGGGAAGGAGATTCAAGGACTTTGGGGGCCCGGAAATCTTTTCATCTGTCCTACAAATACTCAGAAGAGGAATAGAAAGGAGTAGTTACTTATCTATAACTAATTCTGTCACCAGTGTCCAGATAGTAGATGCACCAATTCATTGCACAGGCTTTGGGAGACTGTTCTTTTTAGGTGGCATTAATAAACCAAAATGCAAAACCGTTACTAAGCCTATATTCTGCTGTTTTTTTATAGCTAGACCAAATTGTTTTGTGGTCAACATCAGATCCCTTTGACATCCAAAGTGGAGTGAAACAGGGTTGTGTCCTCACGCCAACCCTGTTTGGGATCTTTTTTGCTGTCATTCTGAAGCATGCCTTTGGAACTGCAACAGAAGGTGTCTATCTCCGGACTAGATCAGATGGAAAGCACTTTAATCTCTCTAGACTGAGAGCGAAGACCAAAGTCCAGCTGAAATGCATGCGGGACTACCTCTTCGCTGATGATGCAGCTGTTGTTGCCCATTCTGCTTAAGACGTCCAGCAACTCATGAATCATTTTAGCAAGGCCTGCCAAGACTTTGGATTGACAGTCAGCCTGAAGAAAACACAAATCATGGGCCAGGGCATGGACTCACCTCCCTCTATTACCATCTCTACACAAGAATTGGAGGTTGTTCGTGATTTTGTGTACCTTGACTCAACGATCTCTGGCACACACTCTCTAGATGTCGAGCTAGATAAACGCATTGGCAAAGCAGCTACCATGTTCTCTAGACTCACAAAGAGAGTATGGCTTAACAAGAAGCTGATGGCATATACCAAGATCCAGGTCTATAGAGCCTGTGTCCTGAGTACAGTCCTTTACTGCAGTGAGTCCTGGACCGTTTGTGCATGGCAGAGAGGAAGCTGAACACGTTCCATATGTGTTGTCTCTGACGCATTTTTGGTATCACTTGGCAGGACAAAGTTCCAAATAGAGTAGTCCTAGGTCTGGAATTTTTAGCATGCATACATTACTGAAACAGCAATGTCTACGTTGGCTTGGGCATGTTGTGAGAATGGCTAATGGTCGGATTCCAAAAGATCTCCTGTATGGAGAATTAGTGCAGGGAAATTGCCCCAAAGGGAGACCACAGCTGCGATACAAGGATATCTGCAAGTGGGATCTGCAGGCCTTATGAATGGACCTCAACAGATGGGAAACCTTGACATCTGAGCATTCAGCCTGGAGGCAAGCAGTGCTTCATGGCCTCTCCCATTTTGAAGAGACACTTGTCCAGCAGGTCGAGGCGAAGAGGCAGTCCTGAACCCAGCAAAATGGAGCTGGACAGGAGACAGATTGTATTTGTCTTCAGTCTGGAAGGGATTCTCTCAAATTGGCCTTCTCAGCCACACTAGACGCTGTTCCAAGTCCTCCATACAGAGCACGTTACCATAGTCTCTCGAGACTGAAGGATGCCTAAAACTAAAAATTGTTTTCACAGATGTTACTGAATAATGAACATATCCATATTAATTCTCAAGAAACAGAGGTATATATAAATCACAAGAAGGGATAACTCAGCAATTACATTGACAGTGATTGTATTCAGATCTAACAAACCTGAAAATAAACCATACTTAAGATTAACCAGAATTTTAAAATGGGTCTGATAGCCTGCAGTCTTTTCCCTATACTTGTGAAAGGAAGAACACAAGCCTGATCCACAGTTATATAAAGATACATTATTGTTCATTCTTAAATCCCAACATAATCCATGTTTCTTGTGAGGTCAAGCAAGTCCTAAGAACTCTTTTGTTCTTTTACCTTCCTTCTTTTTAATAGATCAGAATTAAAGTTGCTGAGCTTGCTACTAATGCTAAAAAATTAAATGGAGAGCCTGAAGTGCAGATGTGGACTTCAGACTGTGAAAAGATCCAGTTAAAGACTTGTTTTGGTTCCCACTTATTAAGATTTGTTCAATAATTTGATTTGTATTGATTAACTCAGAGTACTCCAGTTCTCTCCCTATGTCATAGCAGCTAGGCTTGTTAGAAGGATCTCTTCTTTGTCTTTTAAATCTGGGGATCCTAATGGGAAATGGGGCAGGGAAGCATTTTTAGACTTCTGTTCAGATCACAGATGGGAGATTTGTAGTCCTTCTGATTTTGTTGGACCACAGCCAATGTGACCAATCATCCAGAATACAGTAGTCCCACAAATTTCTCACTCCTAATTCAGATGTTTTATTACATAAATGCATTTAGCATAAGTGTGTGTTCTTGTTTTATGCCTATCTCTTTGCATGGACCTAATGAAAAGCAAAAGAAAGAAAAATTCTACACCTGTAGATCTATGCCCACATTATGGTTGCTCCATTCTATGACAATCAATAGCTATAAGCAAAAGCTGATGAATTTAGAATTGTACCTTAGGTTTCCAAATGAGAAAACACATGTACAGTGCAATCCTTTTAATGTATACTCAGAAGTTCCATTATGATTGAACACTGATGCATTAAGGATTGTAGTTCTAAAGAAATATTTAGATAATTAGCAAATGTTTAAATCCATTTTAACAGAAATCCTTCAAGTTTACAATAAATTTCAGTGTGTATTTGGCCTTCTGATCTGTCATGTCCAGGAGAATCAGCATTTTAAATGTACCAGAGAGTAAAATTCTATCTGCTAACTACTTTATAGATCAAATCCTAACTAAAACTCCTGGCCCCCGCCCCAGATCTAGAAAATATAAGAAGTATTATTTCAGGGCTAAATCCAGTCGTCAGTCCCTCGTAGTGTCAGCCTGTTGAATCAATAGAATTTACATAAGTATTGTCTTAACACGTTTCATTTATTCATTTGCTCTACTCAAGCTGGGGCTAAGAATTGGATTTATCCCTCAGTGTTTAAGACTATCTGTTCTGAACATCTAAGCCCTCTGGTTGGAATCATATGTTGCTGAAATGACTATCTTGCTAGAACATACTAATGACTATGCTAGGCCAGGATCACCAACACGACATGAAATTGCTTATTCTCATACCTCACTGCAGAAGCACATGAATGTATCCCAGCACAGATATTTATAATGAAGGTGTAAGTAACTAATGTCAAGAAACAGTATCAGCTTCTTTCATTTTAAGCTTGCAGTAATAAATAGCTAGGGAAAGTAACTGTAAACTCTTTGTTCTCTGTTTTTCAAGCACTTTTGTGCAATGGAAAGTTTCACAAGCACTTGCAAGAGGTTTTTGTTCCCTTGGTCATCCGCTACATTGATCTCATGGAATCATCCATTGCCCAGTCTCTTCACCGAGGTCTTGAACAAGAGTCATGGCAGCCTGTCAAGTAAGTGTTTCTGGGACACTTAAGCCAGCAATGCCTGTCCTATTTTGAATCTCAATTTGGTCTGTGGTACTCTTCAGTTTTCCTTTTAAATTTTATTTTTATTTTTATTGTACTCCTGCATTGTTTATTTCTTCACAGGACCATCACCAACAGTCTTCCCAATGTAGCTCTTCCAAAAGTTCCAAGTTTGCCTCTTAATCTTCCCCAGATACCTAGTTTTGCTACACCGACCTGGATGGCTTCTTTATATGACTCCACGTGTGTATTCTTGACTAATGTCTAAACGTTGAGTGTGTGTGCGTCTCAGCTCTGCACGGCCTTGCTGATGTCATGTATAGCTGTATTTGGACTGCATGGTGTTTGTGATCATTTGGTTGGAAATTATAGCTTTTTGGTAGAAAGCCAAGCATGAAACGTCATTGGGTTGTGCTTTTTGGTGTATAAAATCTCAGTAGGATGTTGCTTAAAATTAACTAGGCAGAGGTTTGTTGTGGTACACTTAGCAGTCATCACCCTTAATTACATAATTGCGCCTATTTAGTTAATAGGCAGTGTGGAAACACTTTAAATTATTGTACTGGAGTATTATTTTTTTAATGGCAATAGCTCTTCGTATTTTGGCATGCTATTACTAATCCATTGCATGTGCCAAAAAAATTGAAAATAGCACCAATAGCAATTGTTTGTGTTATTTTATGAGATTTTTAATAGGACACTTCCGACCTTAAAAGAATTCAGTTCCCACTTAATAAGACTGTGACAGTCTGAGCCTCCTTCTCAGTTTTTTGTTTGTTTGTTTGAAATGACACACAGCAGGTTTTTGTACCTTAAATGAAAAACATCACAATTATGCATTATAAATCACAACAAAAGAAAATAAAAAGAAGATTTAAAGGATTTATATTGCAAGCATTCAACAGAGAAATATTCTTAAGCACATTAAAAGAAAAAGTAGTTGAATCGTTATGACATCTCCTTCAAATTTAGCACTGGATCAATGTTTGGAGCAAATATACAAGCATTGTATAATTTCAGAAATAGATGCCTAGCCTGACTTTATTTGCAATTAGCAATAAAGGTTAAAATGCAAACCACAGGGTGGAGACTAAATGAAACAAATACTACTGGGGTAGAGAGACCATGACAATTAAAAATCATACTCAGTTTTTCAAAAATCACTTTAAAACGATCAATAATGAATTAGTTTCTGGTTCTAGTACTCTCTGCAAGTTCTGTTCTGTCATTTCTTCTATCTTTGATGTTCACAAAGGAGTGTTTATGTAATCCAAGAACACAAGAACGGGAAGTAGCAGCAAACTTGAGGAAACACCGGGGTTCCAGAAGTTTTTTTTAAAGGAATATGTTTAGAACAGAACAGGGTGTCCTGGAAGAAGCCATTGCTGGCTAGAGCATTACAAACAGGATCAGTCTATACTGCACCATTTGTTGCAGGTCCCAGTTGTGCTTTTAATACTAAAAATCAAACATGGCAAAACATTATTCATAAGGTTAGCAACAAATAGCTTTTTAAAAAAGAATAAATAGTATGTGTGGGTGAGCTAATGTGAATCAAGAACCTTCCATGTGGGAATTTACTTACTCATTTATTCCATTTATACTCTACCTTTCTGCCAAAAATGGCAGTCAAGATGGCGGCGGCTGTCACTTCCTAGCCTACCAGCGAATGGACATTGTCATGGCTATACTGACTTTGGACATAACAGCTCTAAGCAATGACACTATACTGCATCCAAACCAGGATCCATAGGTTTTTAGCCAATAAGTTTTTTTCCTACTTGCAGTCCTTTACTCATTTATTTAGCGTCAATAATCAGCTATAACAATCTGTACTTTTTATTTCTCGGTATATAACTGAAATACTCTAGCTTTGTGCACTGTATGAGTGTAATGGTTTCTTGATCTTAATACTGCTTCATTGGTTACATTCTCAATTCAGGAAATTGTTAATGTTCTGGAATAAATCTACATTGTAAATGTTTCCTTTTAAATCATGTGGTACATCCACATTTAACAAATGCCTATATGAACATCCATGGTTCCATGCCACACAATAGAGTCAAGAATGCATAACACAGTACAATGTGCAAGACAATTTAACGTTTTGTTGAATGTCAAGGTAGCTCAAAATAGTAAAATTAAAGCCACAATTAACTACTAGTTCATTCAGCTTCTCTGCCTAGAATGAAAGAGCCTGGTTGCTTTGTCCATTGTCTCAGGAAATGAAGTGTTTTGGACTACTTCTCTATAAACAGACATAAAAACATACAAAACTTCTATTACATATAATACTGTGTTTCCCCAAAAATAAGACAGGGTCTTATATAAATTTTTCCTCCAAAAACGCATTCGGGCTTATTCTTCTTCGTGGCCTCTGTGAATGCGCACAAATGGGTCTTGTCTGCACCTGCGCTGATGTTCTCGGAAGATTCTAGAGCTGCAAGTAACAATTTTATGGGATGATCCCCCATGAGGCACCTGCTCCTCCCATCCCAGATTCCCCTCAGTTCCTTTTTTCCGCCAAGCTATTCAGTTCTCCTGAGAATTAGAATGGCTACTGAGTTATTTTGAGTGGTTATTACTATTTCCCTTTTTGATTACCAGCTTGATTGATTACTTCTTCTTTTCTAATCATCTAATCAGCAATCCCCTCTGAGTTCTTTCATTTCTGCTCTCCGAGCTTTTGACTATCTGCCACCCCCCAGACTCTTCAACCATTTTTTCCCTCTCCTTTCCCGCCATTTATGGCCTCTTCGGCTCCGTTAAAAGATGCGTTGACTGCAACAGTAAAGTGCCGTACTCAGGCGACCACAAGTGTCTTTTTGTCTGGGTGAGCTACAGCAGACCCAGTCGTGTTCAGCCTGTAGGAAACTTACTAAGCCCGCACTTAAGCAAAGACTCCAGAGACTTAGATCTCACCTCTAGGAAGTTGCAATGAACCCTGCAACTTCGGCCGCGTTGGCTGTCCAGTCGCCAGAAGGATCAGTAGAGCAACAACCCCCATCTTTGTTAGCTCCCAGCCAGATGACCCCTTCTCCTCACTCTAAGGAAGGGTCTAAGAAATCTGGCATCCTCTAAGCCTAAGTCAACGTCAAAAGCTACCCGAGGTCAGGAAGCAACTAAGAAAAAGAAAGAAAAGCTGATTATTAAAAGTCTTAAAAGGTTAAATCAGTTCAACTCAACCCTCCGAGGGAGCTGTTACTACCTCCAATCATGGAGGAATCATTGAGAGAGGTGGTGGAATCAGTGTCTGAAAGGGACGATGGGCAAGTTCCATCTGCACAAGCTCCGGGATCGACCAGTAGCCCTTCCCTTTCAACTGGCCATCCTGTGACCGAGCTTCCATCCAGTCCAGCCATGGCCCATTCGTACCCTGCATCAGAGTCTTTTCAAATATGGACTTTCCCATTCAACTTTAAAAGTTTATATTTCAGCTATCACTGCCCATCAACTGGATAATTCTGCCTCAGCAAGACTTCTATCACACCCTACGGTTAAGAAATTTCTCAAGGGACTCAATAACATCCGTCCCCCACATCAACATATCATTCCCCAGTGGTCTCTACAGATCATCTTCCACACACTAATGCACACACCATTCGAGCCCATGTCCTTTTCAAACTTGAAATTGCTCACTCTTAAGACGGCCTTCTTAGTGGCTATTACATCTGCCAAGAGAACTGGTGAACTTGCCGCCCTGCAATCTGATCCACATCCAATTCACTTCCACCCTGATAAAGGGACTTTATATTTTGAGGTTTCTTTTCTGCCTGAGATTGTGTCAGATTTCTATATTAATCCACCCATCATATTGCTATCATTGTTCAAATCAACATAATCTCATTTGGAACACATGCACCACACTGTCGACATAAGACACTCACTAGCATTTTATCTGGACAGAAACAAGAGCTTCAGAACAACTAAAAGGCTCTTGTGTGTTTTTGTGGTCCTCATAAGGGAGGTCCAGCCTCATCCCAATCCATCTCTAGATGGATAGTCCAGACCATATCTCTTGCTTACCAGCTGTCAGGCAAGTCACCACCTGATCAACTGAGAGCTCACTCAACCAGAGTGCTGTCCACTTCAGTTGCCTTCCAGCCCCAACTGAGGTTCCTGACATCTGCCGTGCCGCAGCATGGTCAACTCCATCAACCTTTGTGAAGCACTACTGGCTAGATGTGAGACCACACAATGATGCTGGATTTGACAGAGCTGTGTTGGCATCCTTCCTACCATGACGTCCCACCTGCTGGTAAGTGAAGCTTGCTAGTCACCCATTTGTGTGCATTCACATAGGCCATGAAGAAGAAAATGAGGTTACTTACCTGTAACCATAGTTCTTCTAGTGGTCCTCTGCGAATTCACACTACCCACCCATTCTCCCCTCTGTCTATCATGGGTATCTTATTTATCATGTAACTCTTGTGCCCGGTGGACAAATTTTCGGAACTGAGGGGAATCTGGGATTGGAGGAGCATGTGCCTCAGGGGGAATCATCCCATAAAATTGTTACTTTCAATTCTAGAATCTTCTGAGAATGTCAGCACAGGCGCAGACAAGACCCATTTGTGTGAATTCACAGAGGACCACTATGGTTACAAGTAAGTAACCTCATTTTTTCAGGGGATGTTTTTTTTCACGTACAGCAATCTACTTTTAATTCAAATACAGTCATGCCATCTTCTTCTGGTTGCTGCACAATGGTGGAGGGGTTTTTTCACTTCACAGGGGCTTATTTTGGGTTAGGGGTTATATTATGAGCATCCTGAAAAATTATACTACGGCTTATTTACAGGTTATGTCTTATTTTCAGGGAGACAGAGTAGAAGTTTTTTTGCTAGCATTTCCATTCATGAAAGAATTTACGGTTCATTCTCTCTCTCTCTCTCCCTCCCTCTCTCCCTCTCTCTCTCTCTCTCTCTCTCTCTCTCTCTGTAAGTGTGTGTTCTTTTCTATTATTACATAGTCTCAGCAACATAATTACTTTGTTTTTAGTTGTTTTTGCTATTCCTTCCCTTTAATGGTACATCTGGGGCATTGTACATTAAGGCTGAGGAGGTATTAAGAGGGCAAAATGCTGTGTGTAGTATTCAGTGTTTTGTTTGATTGGTCTCTTGAGAGGCTAACAGAGAAGAGACACTGGCTAGACATGAAAAGCACTGTGAATTATGTGTGGAGTTGTCTAAGGAAAACACCCTGGAAGCAGGAGGGAAGTATTAGGGAAGAAAATATAAGGT